GTAAAACAATGAAAGAATTTTTCTTTTACTTTTCCAAGAGGGGAGTGTACTGGGGGGAGGGTTGGGAGGGGAGAATAGTGCAACAATGAATGAATGGAAATCCAAAGTCTCTGTAACTTTTCACTGAAATTAATAATAAAAAAGAATTTAAAAATAACGTTGTTAGGAGGTGCCATCCTTAACTGAACAACACCAAACAACAATAAACCTTGATAATCTTCCAAATAAGAAAATGAATGGCAAGGTATGGATATAAAAACTAAGTCTGTTTTTCACAGGCAATATGTAACATGCTCTTGTTTAAAATATATTAAATTTTGTATAAAAGAATGTATCACACAATCTTGGGCATAACCTCTCCTATTGATTTTCCACTCTTAAATTTGTTTAGTCTTTTTTACTGTCAAGATTGCACATGCCTTTGAAGCAATTGAAAGACTATGGCCTGGATCTATAATAACACCTTAGAAAGATCTTTTATTGTATTTTCATGCTCATAGCTGGGACTTTACAGGAAAACTGAGTGTATAATATATCAGTAGTCTCTAATTCATTTTCTTTGTAGTAAAAAATGCAAATGGTTATTGTCAAACCATGTAACCACTCTTTAAAATACATACTGCAGTTAAGTCTTCTTCTAGTTTTTGCCCTTTAAAGTTGTTGTTGTTGTTGTTAGGTGCCGTCAAGTTGACTATCACTCACAGCAACCCTATGAACAACAGGTATGAACCTTGCCCTATCCTGTGCCATTTGCATAATCTCTGATATGCTCTAGCCCTGCAGTCAATGTGTCAGTCTATCGTGTGTGTGTGTGTGTGTGTGTGTGTGTGAGAGAGAGAGAGAGAAAGAGAGAGAGAGAATCTATCTTATTGAGGGATATTCTGTCTCTGACCACCACTCTTTGCAGCATGATGTCTTTTTCCAAGGACTAGTCAGTCCCTCCAGACTACATGCCCAAAGTACGTGAAATGAAATTTCACCATCCTTACCTTTAAGATGCACCCTAGCTGCACTTCTTCCAGGATAGATTGTTTATTCTTTTAGCTGTCCATGGGATATTCAATACTCTTCTCCAACACCACAATTCAAAAACATTGATTATCCTTCTATCATCTTTATTCACTAACCAACTTTCAGATGCATAGCAAGTAATTGAAAAGATCATGCCTTGGGTCAGGTACACCTTAGTCTCTAGGTTTATCCTAGAGAGGGTAAAACCAGGCTGCTCCTTGGAGGCAAGGATTCTGAAGCTTCATGTGACAAACTTTGGACATGTTGCAATGAGGGACCAGTCTTCGGAAAGAGTCATCTTGCTTGGGAAGATGGAGGGACACTGTAAGAAAGGAAGAACGTTGATGGGATGGATTGATTCAGTCCCTGGAGTAATGGTTTAGATGTGTCAAAGACAAGGTTGGCACAGGATAGAACAGGGTTTAGGACTGTTATGCATAGCATCACTATGAGTAGCAAGTAACTCGATGGTACATAACAACAACAACAATCTTCATGTTGCCTAGTGGTCCAGTGGTGAGGATTTTTGTTTTCTTTCTTTCTTTTTTTTTAACAGTGTGTACTTTATTTTTTTTAATTTGAAGTTTATTATTAATTTCAGTAAAAATTTACAGATTTTAGACTTCCATTCATTCACTGTTGCACTTTTCTTCCCTCCCAACCCTCCCCCAGTACACTACCCTCTTGGAAAAGTAAAAAATTATTTCATTGTTTTACAAACCCTCCCTCAGGACCACTCCACCATCTAGCCTTTGCTCTAGACTCTTGTCATGACAAAAATACCTAGTCACATATCCCTTTAAACAGTTTTCTCCCTCATCTGTTTCAATGCAGTATACATTATTGAACGCATCTTTCTCAGTCTCTCCCCAACCCCAAGGTCAGTCCTGTTTTACAAAAGTGGCACCATGCAGTATTTGTCCTTTTGTGACTGAGATACTTCACTCAGCATAATGTCCTCCAGGGTCATCCATTTTGAATAATATTGCATGAGTTCCTTGTTTTCCAGTGCAGCATAGTATTCCATTGTGTGAATATCCCACAGCTTCTCTATCAATTTGTTTATTGATCGGCACTTAGGTTGTTTCCAGCTCCTTGCTTTTGTGAACAAGCCGCAATAAACATGGGTGTGCGAGGATTTTTGTTTTCTTGATGTTGAGATATAATCCATAGTGAAACCTGAAGTGCCTGATCTGCAGAAAATATTTAAAGTTGTGTTCACTTTCAGTTAGCAAGGTTGAATAATCTACATAACACAGATTGTTGAGTGGTCTCCCAATTCTAACACTACATCCTTTTTCATATACTCTAGCTTCATGAATTATGTGCTCAACATACAGACTTAACAGGTATTGAGAAAGGCTACCACCCTATCACACACCTTTCCTGATTTTAAACTATGCAGTGTTACATTTGTTCAGACAACTAACTGCTTCTTGGTCTATATATAGGTTTCACACGAACACAATTAAGTATTCTGGGATTCTTGTTCTTCTCCAGTATTATCCATAGTTTGTTATGATTTACATAGTCAAATATCTTTGTATAGTCAATGAAACACAAATAAACATCTTTCTGATGTTCTCTGCTTTCAGTCAAGATCCACATGATTTCAGCAGTGATATTCTTTGTGCTATAGCATCTTTTTGAAGCAATACTTCTCTTTGAACCCTACTTACCAAAAAAACAAACAAGAGCATTCCTATAAATTGAAACTGCAACTCATACAGACCTTATAAGACTGCTCTGTCTTGTTTCTGAGACTGTAAATCTTTATAGAAGCTGATTGAAAAATCTTTCTCCCCTCACAGAGATAGCTCAGGTAACAGCCATGTTCTCAACCCATGCACTACGAGGTGTGGTGTTAAGGGTTTATTGTTCAAAATGGCTTCCCAAGTCACTGACTTTTGACTTTGTCATGTGGATGGGCAGAAATTAAAAATAGGTCTGTCTTAGAGAGGATGAAACCAAGTCTCTCCTTGGAGGCTAGGATTATGAAGCTCTGTCTCACTTTCTTTGGGCACATTGCCTGGAGAGACCAGTCCTTGGAGAAGGAAATCTTGCTCGGAAGGGTAGATGGACAGCACAGGAGAGGAAGACCCTGGATGAGATGGATTGATACAGTGACTGGGGCAATGGGGTTAGGGTGTGTCAGAATTAGTGAGACAGGCTCAGAACAGGGAAGGGTTCAGAGCTGCTGTACATAGGGTCACTGTGCGTCACAGGCAACTCAACGGCACATAACAACAATAACACTATGACAGGTTTGGAAGCAAGAGTAGCATCCACTTCCTAAACAACATACCTCCAGAAACTCTAAAGTTCTCCGGAACTTTGACAGTTGTAGAGGGGCTTCATGCCTTTTGTTCACAGGGTCGCTATGAGTTGTGCTCAACTTGAAGAAGGCAACAACCTATTCACAAGGGGATTGGTTAGTCTTTCCATTAAAGTCAGACCAAGGCCTATGAGAAAAGCAGCCATAGCAGTCAGCAGCAAAGAACCAGAGATGTGACATGAGACAGAGCTGACCTTGAAACTGCTACTCCATGGAACCAGAGCCCAAAGCCTTTTGCCCAAGTTTTTAGAGGGCTGTGGTGGGCAGAAAGTCATAATTAGCAAGATTAAGAGCCTAAAGCACAAGGCCGAAGGCTGAGGAAGTTTGGAAGCTGTCTTGAGTGAGCGACTGTATTTTGCAACTATCCTAAATGAAAGCCTTTTAACTTCTTTTTTTCTTTTATGGTGAGAAAAATTTATTATATTTAGAATTAGCCCGCTGGACTCAGTTTAGATGATCCCAATTTTGTTGGCAACATCCAAAGCATCATAATCAGGAGCAAGTCGAACATAGGCCTTCTTCTCTCCATCAGGCCTAATCAAAGTGTTGACCTTAGCCACATCAATGTCATAGAGCTTCTTTACAGCTTGTTTAATTTGGTGCTTATTGGCCTTGACATCCACAATGAACACAAGTGTGTTGTTATCTTCTATCTTCTTCATAGCTGACTCAGTGGTCAGGGGAAATTTGATGACGGCATAGCGGTCAAGCTTGTTTCTCCTGGGAGCGCTCTTCCAGGGGTATTTTTTTTTTTTTTTTGGCTGTGGACGCCCTTCAGGACTGCCTTCTTGGCCTTCAATGCCTTTTTGCTTTGGCTTCAGTTTTGGGAGGGGCAGGGGCTTCCTTCTTCGCTTTCGGCGCCATCTTCGTAGAAAGGGGCCTTTTAACTTCTTAATACGGCTCTATGTGGCTGTGAGCTATTGAAACAGATTTTGGACCCATTAAAGCAGTAAGATTGGTGTTGGGATGAGTAGAAAGAGGTGCAAGAGAGTGACTGACATGTCTAACTTCATGGGAATTGTTTTTGTAGTGATGTTGATGGGGACAGATCCCCTTTGCAGAGCTAGTAAAGGTCAGATCTATCCATTCCCACATGACCGTTGCTCTTTTTACAGCAAGGCTTCTATTCCAATAAAATTACATAGTTGTTACAGAGTTTGCTGGTAATACTAAAGCAGTGCCTCTTTGGCTGTTGGAATCCACCAGCAGCTCCTCAAGAGATAGACCCTACCCTGGAGGGTCAGCTGTGTCTCAGTTCCCACTGGACCTCAAGGTGAAAAAGAATAACAGCTGTTCCGATTTACCTACAAATTTAATCTTATTCACTTGACCAGTTAATCTAAGGGACACATTTAGATCTCATTCATAAACCAACGACTGCCCATATTACTGTATTACCTGTTTTGGAAGATCTTCCCACCTCGGCTTTTCATTCTGGTGTTTGAGTCATTTTATCAACTGAGAACTTCCACCAGTGTTTCTTCTCATTTAATTGGACCAAGAAAAGCGATGCTCTAGGGCGAGTTTTCAGTTTCCAAAAAGACTCAGGACTCTGCCCCTTTCAATGGAAAACAAACGAATGAAAGAAAACCACCTTGGTCTGCCTTTCCCCTCTGACGCGCACAATCCGAGAGTAACGCTTTCTGGGAGGTAGTCTGGAAACCCAGTGCCTAGTACGTTCCCTGGCCGGGTGACGGATGGGGCCCCGGGGCTGCAAGCAGCGCGGCCAGGTCCCAGAGCCGCTGCTCCCGCGGCACGGCCACCCGGGAGCGCCGGGGTCACTCCGAGGACGCCTGCCGCCAGCGCTGCGAAGCGCACGGGCCGCCTGGGAGCAGGGCGGGGCCGCGAGGCGGGGCTTGCCCACGTGACCACCCTGCCCGCCGCCTTCAGCCGGCGGAGCCCCGGCCGACGCCTCTCTTGGGCTGCAGCTCCGCACGCCCCTCCTCCTCCGCCTCCTCGGGGTGTCACTGAGCCGAAGCCTGAGCAGCCGCTGCAGCCAGAGCCGCGGACACTATGGTAAGCCGTGCGCGCTGGCGGGGGAGCCGGGGCTCGGTAAGGGAAGCGCCCGGGGTGTCCCCGCAGGGCTCAGGGAGCGAGGCCGCCATTTTAGCCTGAATTTGGCCTGCGAGGTGGGCGCTCCTACGCCGCGGCTCCACTGTTGTCCAGCCGGCTGGCCGGCCTTTCCCGCCGTCCTGCCCGGCCTCGCAGTTCTTCGGCCTCCTGAGGGCTGGAGCACCCCGATGGGGTGGGGTCGGAGGTCCGGGGCCGAGTGGACAAAGTCCGGGGGCGCTGGAAGGGCCGGGGGGCGCTGTGCGGTGTTCGCCGCCTTTGCCCTTCATCTCCTGATTTATTTAATACGCGCGCTGCCAGATTGATACATGCTCCGAAGCCCTGGCTAAAAGGCTTTTGGTCATGTTCGTGATGGTTGTAATGACGCCCTTATTGAGAGATTAAGGAGGTGGGAAAACTCTTGGAAATGCCTTCTGGCGGGGGAGGGGGTGGCCGTTTTTTCCACGCGATCAGTTGGGTCTGAGATGTCTAGATTTGAGCTGGGAAGCAATTACGTTGTTACCGTGGGCGGTTAGGAGTTTACATTTGATTCCCTTTCCTTATGAGGTAAAGGCACAGGCTAGAATGACTTTAAAGAAAAAAAATCTTAGACGCATTAACTGAAATCCAGAAGGGTTTTGTGGGTTTTTTTGTTTTTTTTTAAGGCCTGCAGAGTTGACACAATACAGAAGGTATTTTTGCTGCTGCTCGTGGACCTCTGACATCACCCAGTGAAATAGGAAACATTTCAGCGATGGGACAGCTTGTATTTGTCCTTTCATTCCACTTTTCCATTTCCTTCAAACTCCAACCCTCTTTAAAAAGAATGAATGGGGCAGGATGACTTAGAATCCTTAGGTTAGAGGCTTCATCCTTAAAATGTGGTAAATCTGACTGTACGACTTGGATGGTACAGTGGAATTTTTCTATCCCCAGAGTAAAGTGAACGTCTAAGCAAATAGTAATTTTGGTTAAGGCCAAAATACTTGTTCTGAATTGCTGCTCTTGGTTTATTTTCAGGCTTCTGGAGTTACAGTGAATGATGAAGTCATCAAAGTTTTTAATGACATGAAAGTAAGGAAATCTTCTACACAAGAGGAGATCAAAAAAAGAAAGAAAGCAGTGCTCTTCTGCTTAAGCGATGACAAAAGACAAATAATAGTAGAGGAAGCAAAGCAGATCTTGGTGGGTGACATTGGTGACACTGTAGAGGACCCCTACACATCTTTTGTGAAGTTGCTACCTCTGAATGATTGCCGATATGCTTTGTACGATGCCACATACGAAACAAAAGAGTCTAAGAAAGAAGACCTAGTATTTATATTCTGGTGTGTAAATACAAAAGAAAAAAGTATTTTTTAAAATGCAAGGATTATTAACATAGTCAGTTTGCCTTTATTTTTCTTGAAATTGGGATTCAACAATTTTTTTCCCCCTGTGCAGGGCTCCTGAAAGTGCACCTTTAAAAAGCAAGATGATTTATGCTAGCTCTAAAGATGCCATAAAGAAAAAATTTACAGGTACAAACATTGATCATTTTGTACAGTGACATTATTCTCTTATTTAAAATAAGGTAATGGCATAATCTCTCTCTTTTTTTCCCCCCTCCCCCCCTGTTAGGTATTAAACATGAGTGGCAAGTAAATGGCTTGGATGATATTAAGGACCGTTCAACACTTGGAGAGAAGTTGGGAGGCAATGTAGTAGTTTCACTTGAAGGAAAACCCTTATAAAATGACAGTCAAGTGCCATCTGGATGTTAAGGAGCTTCCATGTCTCCTGTTCTGTCAGTTGGAATAGTAGTAGGCTGTTTGGTTATTTTTTTTTTGTTTTGGGGGGTTTTTTCCTCCTCCATTGGGCCCTTTGAACACAAGAATGAAGGCGAAACATTCATTTAAGTAGCCTATCAATGATTGCCATTAGACTATTAACATTGTTACTTTTACATAGAGTCCAAGGAATGCCTTTCTGTTCTACTTTAGCCAAAACAACTGGTTTTTTGCCTCCCCTGCAGCAAGCACTGCAGTGAATGTGATTATCAGTGTGAATAGCTTAGAGTACTACAAAGGGTAAGCTAATTGAATGCCTTGAAAGTATTATCCACTGGTTAAATGGTAAACTTTATGCAGTATTATATACAGTATTATTTATAGTTGCACTTGGTTGCAGTTCTATGAGGCTCAAAGCATTCATACACCTCACTTGCCTTGGCAAGCCTACTTTTGTGACATGGCAGCACAGATATAATACTATGCATTGAGAAAGCACTTGTTTTGTGTTTAGTTTGACTACTCACCCACCCTAAAAGGGTTCCAACTCAAAGACGCATAACACTACCCTAAAACAAATGCCAGTTAAGTTGCATAAACTGTTATCAGCTTATCCTAGTACCTCAGTCTTCATTCTTGTTGTATGCATACCTTTGCAAAAGGAAAAGCTGTTAATAATGCCTATTTGTTTCCCATTTTGTGTACACTACTGAATAAGTGTAGTTTTATGTTTACTATGTGAGTCTTGGAAGACTAAAGATATTTTGAATATCAGTCATGATGGCAGTTTCTGTATAAAAGAGCCTTAAGTGGAACATTGTTTTTGAGATTAGACTCTTCACCCTCACAAAAATGGCCACGTTGCAATAAAAATTGTGGCATATTCAGAATGTTGCCTTGTTTTCCTTGAAAATTTAAAATTATGGTATGTGAAACAACTTTTAGGGTAAACGGCTATTAATCTCTGCACTGGTCATTTGAAAATTTTTTGTGTTATGCTATTTTATTAATTTATTTGGTTTAAAAATAGTTTTATCTTAAAGCCATTATTACAGAACAGTACTTTTATAAACTGTATTTATTTCCTTATGTTTTAATATGGAGATCAGGTGTTTGTTTTTTTTTTTTTTTACACAAATGCTTTTCAATAGCTGGCTTGTTTTCTGATAAAATTTAAGTAATTACTTTTTTATTCATGCTTATGTTTCTAAATAGTTGTGTATTACAAACAGGAAGCTCTTAATGCTTATTTGTTCATAACGAAAATAATTTAGAAAATATCCTTTGAAAGTTTAACAATGTTTTCAGGCTTAGAAATTTTTAGTTACTACCCCTTAGTATATTTTGAATATTGAATTAAGAAAAAAGGAATGATAGAGCAATCTTAAACATTAAGAGTGGGTTTTGGCTATGGTCCAGACTGCTCTCCATATAGTGAATTTGATCTGCTCAGTGTGAGCAGTTTGCTGTTAGCCAGAGCTATTTATGGCAAACACATGCTTTTGTATCTTGTCATAGTTATCCACAAATGGCAAAACTGGATTTGATTCTACTGGTATGCAAAACAGGCATGCTAGTAAGCAGTCAGTTACAGCTCAGAATTTAAGTCCAGAGCTCTGAAGAATGTTTTATCAGAAGACAGGAAATATATAACCTTTTAAGAAAAAAAGAGCAAAAACCTTTTTGTTTATTGTGTGGAAGTAAATTTGAGTAAAATTATATTTTTTTTCCTATATTTTTTAGTTATTTTTCGGATGAAGGGTAGGAGTTCTATAGCTAAGCTTTCTTTTGAAATTATATGAATGGCTTGGGATCTTTTGCGCTGAGTGATTTTATTTCAGGCTTTCAGCTGTCCCTGTGAGTTGTCCTGGATGTTTCGATGGCTTTTTGGTAAGGCCAGACTCTAGTAAGCAAAGCATGAATACTGACATATACTAAACTATATGTGTGACTGATAACTTGCACCGTGAAATTATTTGTTGAGGGATTGCCTCACTTTTCTAAAAACTAAGGAGCTGTAAAATAACTAGATGTAGTGTCTTTGGTTTTTTTAACTGATTTCACAATTTACGTATTTGCCTTTTTAATTACATAATAATTTCTGAAATGAAATATGGCTTTATACTGTAATACTTTGACTTGTTAGATTGACAGAACATTTCATTGATAGTTAAATTAATCTTTTAAGTAATTCTTTGTGCATAAAGTCAAAAATAACGGTAAAGATGGTTTACTTGTTATTTAAGCTTAATTTGGCATTTGAAATTATTTTTATTTTACAGTCATTTATAATAAAGTATTATTCAAGTTAGCTTTAAAAGGTATACGGTGCTAATTAATTAAAAAATTGAGGACAATATTTTACTGCTAGCTTGCAAACTTACAAGTGTTTAAAAAATAAAATATGTCAAAATATAAAGCTGTTGAGATGTGTTTACTTAAGTTTTGAAACTAACCATTTTTAAACTAATATTGCAGCTTAAAGAGACCATTTTATTTAGTTTCTTGGGATATTGACAGGGTTTTTTTAAGAGATTAGTTATCTTTGAATGTTGTAACAACTAATTTTAGCATTTTCAAACAAATGGGAAAACTTTTGGCATTTGTCCCAAACTGACTATATCAGCTGTTGTTTTCCATCATTATCTAAGATAACAGTGTGGCAACATTGTGGTTTTTAATGTGCTTTTTCACAAAAAAGTTTGGAAGAAAACTTAGGTTTGAGTTTCTCAGATATAGAACCTTTATTGCAACTGATTTGTGGACTCTAGCACATGATGAGCTTTGGGGGAATAAGTGTCTTTTTTAAAAAATAATAGTAATGGAGAAGAATTTGAGAACACTTTTCATTAATTTTTCCACTCTGATGAAAAAGGACCTTGTTCTGCTGCTATTCATGTTGTTCTTGCAGATATAATAACTTGAGATCCAAAACAATATGAGTAGCCATTTTTCAATATATATTTAAGCTACTAAAGATACTCTGGTAGCCTCCAGTGAATATTGTTTTTAAGACAGCATGAGTTCCGTAGATATTTCATGTCTTATCTCAGTCCATGAAGTCAGGCTTCTCCTTTGCTCTGAAGCGTCCAAACGTAGACATTCATAAATATTCAGGAGTCATTCCTCAATGTCAGTTTCTTGTTGTAAACAATTTGGCAAGGTAATTTTGAGCCCCAATTTCTTAATTCATGATAGAGGAATGATGATAACTTACTTACCATTCCTGGTTGCTGAGAATCAAACATGAAGTGCTTTTTTAAAACAGACTATGGATATGTAAACAAGAATTTATTAAAGTCATTCATTCTGAATAGTGTAGTGAAGAACAATATTAAAAATAAATTTATTATAAGTTATTGAACCTTTTTGTTTTTCTAACTATTCTACATAATCTTATAACTTGTTTGAAAAACTAATTAATACATAGAATCTGTTTTCAGAATGAAGTATAAAATATATAAGTAATATAGTTCCTAACTGTTTAATCTTACTAGAGTAATTTTCAGTTACTGGGTTTTTTTCTCAAGTGATTTTGAGGTGAAAGAAAAAAAGAACAAATAAGAAAAATAATACTGCTTTAATATATTTAAGATTACTTCTTTTTTATTACAAAAATAAGTATAACTTGCCAGTTAAAACCTTTCCATGTGTATAATTTATATCAGTTATGTTAATCATCTTGTACAGTCCTTACCAATTGTCATTGCCAAATTTTCTGTTGCTATAATCAGTAACTAGGACCTCTGGTGGCCTAGTGGTAAGAAACTGTACTGCAATCCCAAAGGCACATGCTTCAAATCCACCACCTGCTCAGTGGGAAAAGGATAGGCATTCTCCTTCTGTATGATTATCTGCCTCTGAAAACCTGTTGAGAGTCAGCTATTGGTCCTCAACGGCATGCAACAACAACACTCAAAAACTCACTACTTCCTAATTAATGACTCCCCCAACCCCCTCCTTCCTGCTATGGTAGCCATATTATAAACTTTGGTATCTGCATATTTGGTCACTAGATAGTAGAATGAGAATGTTCTGGTGGGTTAATGGTAAAGAGTTGTGCTGCCAATTCAGAGGCATGGCCTGCAGTTTGCATCCACCAGCAGCTCTGCAGGAGAAAGATGGGCAATCTCCTGAGCAATTATTCTCTCTGAAAACTTGATGGAGCCTCAGCTATGCATCAGTTTTTTTTTTATTAAATTTTATTAGTTTTAATGAACATTTACAGAGATTTTGGGTTTTCATTCATTCATTGTTGCACCATTCTCTCTACCCTCCTCCCCAGTTTGTTCTTCTTCCCCCGCCATCCGAATGTCTGTTTTAATTGTCCAATTGCCACAGTGCTTGTCAAAGTCAGTTCTGATTAATCTCCTTTGTCAGTGTGTCCTTTGCCATTCCCTATCACTCCTCCCTGAGAGAGACTTCACCCTGAGTCATAAGGAAAAGGGGATGGCATATTCTCTTAGCTACTTCCTGCTGAAAAGGGACGCTGTGGGTTTCAGGGTGAAGATCTTCTCTCACTACTCTAAAGGGCCCCTTTGGCAGTAGGAAACACTAGACTATTATGGAGATTGATTTTGGAATTTAGATGCACTGTTATTAATTGTGCTTAGCCATACATGTTCATATCCTTAAAGATGTATCATGGGGGTGTTGCAACCTAGAAGACACAAATTTAACAAGTTATAAGTACATGAGTCAAAAATTATGGAAAAGTGAAAGAAAAGATTCTTTAATTGTTTTACAAACCCTCCTCCAGGTTCCCTTCCACCATGTAGCCATCGCTCTAGACTCCTGTGATGACAGAAATACCTAGTCACATATCTCTTTTAAACAGTTTTCTCCCTCCTCTGTTTCAGTGCAGTATACATTATTGAACCCATCTTACTCAGTCTCTCCCCAACCCCGAGGTTAGTCCCATTCTACAACAGTGGCATCATGTAATATTTGTCCTTTTGTGACTG